CCCCCCCCGTGCGCGCCTGCCAGTTCCCTGCCCCCCCTGGGTGGCGACCCACCATCCCTGCAGAGCTGGTGCAACCCTCTGCCTGCAGCAAGCTGCAAGTGGGGGACTGCTCCCAAGTAATGATTTACTGGGTAACCATTAACACCACCTATTAAGGGTGATGCTTACCTGGTAACCAGTTACCCATTCATGTCCCTAGTTTGAACCACCTTTGAACCATCCCCTCATATGGTACAAATCAGCATGACTTTGTCTAGACTACGTTTTTTTTTCCTGAAAGGAGATAAGAAAATTCGGCGCTAATTTGCATATCTTCTTCTGATTGCTTTTTCGAAAGCAGGTTTTTCAAAAGTGAAAGTAGTCTGAACCGTTATAGAGATGCCAGGGAATCCCACGCCGCTCCCAGGGACAGATCCGGGCTGGATACAGGGCTGTGGATCACACTCTCCTGGCATCTGGGCCCTCAGCAGCACACCCCTAACTCTCCCTTTAACCAGATGCCCTGTGGCTCGGACGAACTGGACCTGGACTGGCCCCTAGTGGAGCCAAACACATGCTGGGGCTACAGAAACGGATGAAGGCAGAAGAATGCAGTGGTCCCGCTTTATCCGAGGCAGTGAAGTCACCTGCCGCTTCGTCCACTGAGAGCTCGGTGGCGAGAAGCCCGCCAATCTTGCTGAAGGCTGGCATCTGGAGGCCGTATTTCTCCAGCTCCCGCTTCATGTTGTTAATTTCCTCCTCTGGAACAGAGCAAGCCGAGTCAGCGAACACACGCCCGTTCGATCCCGTGATGGCAAAGGACGTTGAACTGCGGTTACGAGGCTCATCGTGTAGTCGATACAATTTGTATCGATGAGTCGATAAGGAGCCGCTCTGCAGAGCCGCAGCGGGGGTAACGCCCGGTGCCGGTTTGAGCCAGGACTGAGCAATCCTGGCTTGTGGGGAGCTCCGGGAGCCACATGTGCTGAGGCTCTGCATTTTAAATGGAGTAAGAGCCACTGGGCAGCGCCCCAGCTGGGACTGCTCC